AATGTATCAAGCCCTCGTGTAAAAGGCTTTTCAAGGATGCAGGATTATTGAACATAAGACAGTTGTATAGGTATTGTAAATATTATTAAGAAATAGGTACCTACTGAAAAAAAAAATAATAATAACCTTATGTAAATTACAGAAAAGAAACTCGTATAAATAACAAATAATGCCAAATGCCATAGGCCCTTCCACAAACAAATACATAAAGGCACTACACATATACCCTTCCTAAAATAATAAATTTACTGCCCACTAACTATAGATGTGTCTCTTATAAATAAAATTAAGAAGGAACTAAAAGATTGGATAATTCAGAACTACACGGTCATTGTTCCTAATACTCATTGGTTTCGGGCATAAGTTTTTAGTACCTTTTTGAGGTGAACCACGTCCACTTCCCGAGCAAGTTCTCCTCCCAGAAATTCAAGAATACGGCTCCTGTGCAAGTGCCAGGACATCTGTGCAAAAGTGTACGACCGCACTAAGTTGTAGGAACAGGAGAACAATGTCGGACAGTAGGACACCCAATGAACTCAACTTCTCAGGTGATTTAACTTCACATTGGAAATTATGGAAGCAGAAGTTTGGAAACTATATTTTAGCTAGCGGAAAATCGCAAAAAGGTGATGATGTAAAAATCGCAATATTACTTGGGCCCGGCTTATTCATCTCCAGCTAAACTAGCTGGTTACTATCTGCGACCTGCAAAACTAATTTACCGTTCTATAATTCTATTGGTTGGCAGATAACTGGCCGATCAATGGGATTACAGATTGCATTTTTATCTGTCAGATTGTATACCTGATATATAGTTTATCAGAAGGTGAATAGACAGGTCCTTAATTTAATTGGAGATCAGGAACTCCAAATTTATTATACTTTTGAATACTCTGTAACAGAGGATAAAACTAAGCTTTTCACTGTTTTGGAAAAGTTTGATGCCTATTTTAAGCTTTGTCTACGAACATTTTAAGTTCTTTAGAAGGGACCAACAACAAACAGAACCAAATTTGTCACAGCCCTGAGACAGCTTGTTTCAACTTGTGAATTCAACGAAACAAATGTGTTGATTCGAGATAGACTTGTTTTGGGTATTAAAGATAGCAGAATCCAGGAAAGACTTTTGCAGGAATCTGATTTAAAACTTGCCGAAGCAATAAAGATTTGTCGGACGATGGAAGCTAGTGTAGCTACTCAAAAAGTGATTTCTCAGGCTCAAGATCAAGCTGTCCACGCTGTGAAATTTACGAAGTATTAACAAGGGTCAGGAAAATCTGAAGGCCAATATACCAAATCATCAACACCTGGGTATGTTCAGCAGTCTCAAGAAAAAGCTGGTCCATCTTACTTTGAAAAAGATTTTAGGATCCAATCGTGTTCCAATTGTGGATAGGGCATGCAAAAAGACAATGTCCAGCATATAACCGTGTCTGCTCAAAATGTCGTCGTAAATTCTGTAGCAGAAAGTATCAAGTCGATGTAGACGATGTAGGAAGTGATACTTATAACACAGACTCAGACAGTGAAAAATCTGATTCCTCAGCTTGTGATGATGTGGTTTGGACTATAATAAACCATAATGTAAATGCAGTGGAATGGTTTGAAACTTTAACTATTGAACAGTGTCAAATAAGCCTTTTCGTATGGTTCTCCATTCGTAAATCGATCGAGTGTACGCCACTGCTGATACTTGGCAAGAGTCTGGAAATAGCCGAAAAAAGCATGACTATAATAAAACACTGGATGGACAGCCTTTAAACCTCAAATGTACAAACATCACATACATACTGTAAACAACGTAGGATATCCCTACTCGTGGTATTGAATTTCACAACCACTCATGTACGGATATTTTAAACTGCAAATGCAACAACATAGTAGCACACAAAGACAAAATTAAATATTTAGGTGTCTATTTTGACTAGCATATGAGATGGCAAGTAAATGTAGATTACATTGTGAATACCCTTCTGAGAATAGTCTACAAATTTTATGAATTAAGATAAGTTGTCGAACAATAAGAGAAATTTATCAAGTCTTCGTGCAGAAAGACTTTTCAAGGATGCAGGATTGTTGAACATAAGGCCGTTGTATATTGAAGATATTATTGAGAAATACTACTGTATGGAATTAAAAACCCTGCAAAATGATGTATCACTTGTCCCCCCTTTCCCATTTAAAATTTTCTAGGGGGTGGTTCTGGGGGCTGGGGGGTTGAAAGAGGGAAGGTGAATTTTGCATAAAAATTCATCCCCCTTCAAATTATAGTTGACGTGTTTCAGGGATTTTTTCGAAAATTTTTCTACTCTGAGATAATAGGGGTGGGAAGTTTTCAAATTGACACCCTGTATTATTAGTCTGAAAATGAGTCTACTCTTCAGCTCTGTGATTAGTTTGTCCAAAATAAGAAACTGAGCATAAGGACTCTGCTCCGATGACTTTCATTCCATTGTGATGAGTATTTTCCTGGGCCACGCAGCAGTTGACCCAGCAATTTCAACTTGCTGAAAAGTACTTTTAAGCTATTTCATGATTTCAAGTACCTAATTTTTAGTAATTGTTCGTACTATCAAAGTCTTGGAAGTCAATGAAGCTACTTTTACTCATAAAAGAACGCATCGAAAAGGTCGAACAAAATTTAGAAAAAGCTAAATTTGACTTGGAAAATTGAGTTCAAGGGAAAATAGTTACAGAAGAAAAGTTATAACTAAAAAAAAGTTGGAGTTAAAACTACTTGAATTGTATATTTTAACGAAAGATTTTTAAGAAACTTAACTGGAATAACAAGGCTTACTAAGAACCAGGAAAATGACGAGCCAATCAAACAACTAAAAGCCCATGATAAAGTGACTGAATTGAAATCGTTACAAAACAACCTGCTACACATAGAATCCATTAAACAACAATTCAAAACCTGAATAGCTCTACTAGAAGACAACCAACGCCACATTCAACACGAAAATGAATCCTTATTGCAAAAGCAGAATTTGTCAGATTATGAAAAAACTGAAGCCCACTATCAAATACAACTAGAGGAGATATCAAAAATGAGTTGACAAACGACAATGAAAAAGGAGTTTGAAAAGCGGGAGCAAGAATTAACCATGGAGTTTGAGGAATGTAAACCGAAAATTGGACAGAGTAATAATGAGAAATTGAAGCTACTCAGAGAAGAGTTTGATACTGAGAAAAGAGCTTTGATAAGTAAAATTGAGGAATTTGATAATCAGAAACAGAGACTGTTGATGTTAGAATTGAAGAATTGGACAGCGAGGAATAAAAATTAAAGAATTTGATAATGAGAAGAGTGAGTTAAATCTGTACAACTGCATGAATTTGCTGCTAACAAAAATTTGGAAAAAGTTGCAAGTGAATTTGAATAATCGTCTAAAGATTTATTGCAGGAAAATGACAAATTGAAAGGAGAAGATCAAGCTTTGGAGTTTACCAAAACCAGTCTGAAAGCCTCCTATGATTCGTCAACAAAACCTGCAGAATTTATAGTCAGCAAGCTGATGGAGTTTTGCCAGAATCTGTAATAGACTCTCAATTTAATTTTACAATCGAACGACAAATTTGAGGATGTTAGAAATCAGCTATGAGTGACACCACAAAATATAAATTGGCTCAGGCAAGCAAATCAAAAATTACAAGAAATCAATGGGCTGCAATTTGCTAAAAATAGTCTAGAAGCTTCATATAATTCATCAACAAAACCTGTAGAAGCTCAGACATCTGCATTAGGTAGCAAATTTCCAGTGGACTGAGACAATTTCTTTTTCTGGTCAGAAAAATCTCAGTTTAGCCTTACAAGAAATAAAATAATGATGAATTTGAAGATACTAGAAACCAACCAGAAGTCATGGAAAAATTGAAATAAGAATTGACACGCAACGTCTCAAGTTGCGATTTTACAAGAAAACGAATTGAGGAGGCAATTGGAACTAATAGAAGAAAAAGCTATTGAAATTGGAAAATTGAGACAATCAATTTGTTGAATCTAGCTTGGAACCTTCATGTGAATGATTACAAAAACTAACTGATTCAATTACAGGAAATTAAGTTTTAAAAGAATATGTTGTGAATGAGCAAGTAGTTAAATCAGCTAAGCTAAGTCCTCGGTCTTTATTCAATGTTTTTGCTGAACCAACACTAACCACGTTAATTTTTTCACCTTTGGCTCAACTTCTGATTGGTTCTGTCAAGATCCGATGACAACTTTAGAAAATCAAATAATACCTGAAACTCAGTCTCTGATATGGTTGAATTTGAAGCAAGTTCTGGTGTAATAGTAAAGGTAGAAGATCAAATAATTTCAGTTCAAACGTCACTTGATCAACTTCAAACTTGGATCCGTAGGTAGTGGAAAATCGTCGTGAAGCTCTATCGAATAAAATCAAAGCCCTAGCACATTTTCATAGTGGTTTTTTGACTTTTTCTTCGTCTTTTCTTTCCAAGACTCACTGGAAACAAAAATCACATGCCCGGTGTACTTCTTTTCTATAAAATAATGATTGTTGATGATTCGCACTGTAAGCTCCATGCTGGTAATTCTCAGAAGACAGCACCCACTTAGTCTTGCTTTTAACACACTGAAACCTTTTGCTTCTGATCTCTTAAAGAAAAAATTCTAGGTTTGTAACTGCTCCTATTGTATAAAAACTAGATTCCTAACTCCTCTTCATTACTCAGATTCATTATTACTGTAGAGAAAATACAAACAATAGAACAGCAATCCTTTCAATCAAAAGCCAAACTCTCGAAACAATCCAAATCGGAAAAGTCAAATCTCAATTCCATTCCGAATAGATAAGCGAGTGTCAATCAAAACTCCTGATTTCTCTTCAGCTTATTACCCCGGTTTGACGTGAAGAGGCGCTCCTGGATGCTATACCCCTTTTCCGAAATAGCCATCCCACAAATTTTCAACCCCCCTTCTCTGGCTCTACAACACAGAGAAAGAGGGCTCTTTCGGCATTCTGCGCTCTAAAAGCCTAGGGAGAAGGGCCCGCTCTGCTTTGGCTTTTACCGAAGAGAGAACCGGCGAGCGCATTGCGAGTTCGTCCGTACGCGAGAGAACACGCTATTTGTAATCATGAACCAAGTGAATTAACGTAACTTTACTTTTTGTATACTTACGCGTCATTATTGAGTGGGATTTTTGAGCGATTGTAATTGAGAGTGTTTTTTTGGTGGTTGTTTTTTTTTTTGGGTTTTCGTTTCGCGCCTGTTTTTTACTGTTGCCGGCGTTTGAGGAAAAAGGCCTTAAAATTAAAGCGGTAAGTTTCAAAGAACTTTTTTCAACAATGAACTTTGTTATTTTAACTTTTCGATGTTAAGTTGAAAGTACTTGTTTCCCAGTTGGAAATAAACAAATTATTTCAAATCATTTTCAAAAAATAACGCTTGCAACTAGGTACTTGCCCTGGCTCTTACTAAAAATGTTTCCTGAAATTGTCCAGTTTCAGAATTTGGATTTTTAAACATTTTATTATCTAAACTCTCTAATTTGTTTTAGGACTTAAATCATATTTTATAGTGCAACATGTTGATGCTATATTTGTTTTATAATAGTTGAAAACAAAATTATCGTATAATGAAACACTCATAGATTTTTTGCATACTTTCATAAGAAATCTTATAAACTTCCTACAAATTTGATAGTTAAAATGTGTCAGTTACACTAAGGGATTGTATTAGGACTATATTGTCTCATTTTGGATAGAGTTTTATGAAATTATCAATAAACTAAGATGAAAATACATTGGTGTATTAATCAGGATGAGAGATAATTATCACTTTAAGCACAAATAAAAATATATCATCTGATAACATGATAAGTGTAGGTAGCAAATTTCTTATATTGCCATCGTTGATTTGTTGTCAATAATAAAATGTGTCGGAATTTACTCAAAAATCGATTGATCGGAGCTATTTTTAAACCGGGATTAGCGCCAAATAATTTGTATTTAATCATAATATAAAACTTCAAGTCAGCTGAAAGCCTAATAAGGCAAATTATATTTCTACGGACAATAATATTCATCTGAGAAATTTATTGGCTCTTTGATTTCATAGGAAAAACTTTCAAGCCTTCATCCATAACTTATTCGTCTTATTTCTTCAAACTTCTTCAATACTTTCCAAGACTTCCCTGGTTTTTAACAACCTTCCCTTGAAACTTCTCTGAGCACTTCCTTGAGAGGGAGTTATGATGTGGTTTCCCGCCTTACAAAATTTATACTTACTATTGTTTGATAAAAATTTCTAGTACTTCTTTGAACTTTGTCCAACTTCTCGAAATGTTTTCAATAATTCCCCATACTTTCTTGGGTTTTTCAGAACTTTCCCTTGCCGGATTTCCAGAAACTTCCTTAAATTTTGCCGAATTTCCAGAATCTTCCTTAAATTTTGCCTCACTTCCTCTGCTTTCCTTAGGTGAAGGGTAAACTTTCCCCAAACAAACCGCATCCTAGATTTTGCAAAGAAACTTTTTTCAATATCATGTCCGTGATTTCTCTAAATTTCCTCTGATTTCTACAAACTTTCCTAGAGTGCTCCAATACTTCCTTAAAATTTCTACATAAACTTTAGAAGGAAGCTTAAAACTTCTCAGGTAGTTTCCCCCTGAGTACTGGGTTCTTTTTTTATAAAATTTTAGTATGTTGAAGCCAAAAGTTTCCTGAATATGTAAAAAAATCATTAACACTTCCAAGTTTCCTGAATTTTCAGAAATAAATCAAAAATCAGGCCAAAAACTGTATGACAAAAATATCATTCAGTGATTCTATTGGATTGTAAAAATCGTAACGTTGTTATTCTGAGTTATTTTTATATAAAATATTTTAGTATGTTGAAGCCAAAAGTTTCCTGAATATATAAAAAAATAATTGACTCTTCCAAGTTTTCTGAATTTCCAGACAAAATATCAGAAATCAGGCTAAAAACTGTATGGCAGAAATATCATTCAGTGAGTTTATCAGATTGTAAATATCATAACTTTATTATCCTGGGTTCTTTTTCTATAAAATTCTAATATATTGAAGCCAAAAGCTCTCTGACTATGTAAAAAAATCATTGACACTTCCGAGTTTCTTGAATTTCCAGAAAATCAAGCCTAAAACTGTATGGCAGAAATATCATTGAATGAGTCTTTTGGATTTTAAAAATTATAACGTTGTTATCCAGGGTTCTTTTTGTATAAAATTTTAATATGTTGTAGCCAAAAGTTGCCTGAATATGTAAGAAAATCATTGACACTTCCAAGTTTCTTGAATCTCCTGAAAAAGAATCAAAAATCAGGGCAAAAACTGTATGTCAGAAATATCATTCAGTGAATCTATCGGATTGGAAAAATCGTAACTTTGTTATCCTGGGTCTTTTTTCTATAAAATTTTAGTATGTTGAAGCCAAAAGTTGCCTGAATATGTGAAAAAATCATTGATACCTCCAAGTTTCTTGAATCTCCTGGGCTGCGTTCAGAAATGGCTACAGCCAAGCCAAAATTGGCATTTTGCGTTCGAGTTCGGCTCCAACCTACGTGGTTTGGCATTACCGGCGGAGGGGGAAAAGTAGGTTTTGGCATTAGCATTGCCGTCCTTGAACGCACCCCTGAAAGAAATAACAAATCAGGGCAAAAACCGTATGGCAGAAATATCATTCAGTAAGTCTATCGGATTGAAAAATATCGTAACTTTGATATCCTGGGTTCTTTTCCTATAAAATTTTTATATGTTCAAGCCGAAAGTTTCCTGAATATATAAAAAAATCATTGACACTTCCAAGTTTTCTAAATTTCCTGAAAAAAAATCAAAAATCAGGCCAAAAATTGTATGTCAGAAATATCATTCAGTGAGTCTATCGGATTGGAAAAATCGTAACTTTGTTATCTTGGGTCCTTTTCCTATAAAATTTAAGTATGTTGAAGCCAAAAGTTGCCTGAATATGTGAAAAAATCATTGATACCTCCAAGTTTCTTGAATCTCCTGAAAGGAATAACAAATCAGGGCAAAAACTGTATGGCAAAGATATCATTCAGTGACTCTATTGGATTCTAAAAATCGTAACTTTGTTATCCTGGGTTCTTTTTCTGTAAAATTTTAGTATGTTGAAGCCAAAAGTTTCCTGAATATATAAAAAAATAACTGACACTTCCAAGTTTCTTGAATTTCTAGATAGAAAATCAAAAATCAGGTGCAAAAACTGTATGGCAGAAATATCATTCAGTGAGTCTATCGGAATGTAAACATTGTAGCTTTGTTATCCTTGGTTCTTTTTTTTATAAAATTTCGGTATGTTGAAGCGAAAAGTTACCTGCACATTTAAAAAAATCATTGACACTTCCAAGTTTCCTGAATAGCCAGAAACAAAATCAACAATCAGGACAAAAACTGTATGACAGAAATATCATTCAGTGAGTCTATTGGATTATAAAAATCGTAATTTTGTAATCCTGAGTTCTTTTTCTCTAAAATTTTAATATATTGAAGCCAAAAGTTTCCTGAATATATAAAAAAATAATTGACACTTCCAAGTTTCCTGCATTTCCAGAAAAAAAAATCAAAAATTAGGACAAAAACTGTATGACAGAAATATCATTCAGTGAGTCTATTGGATTATAAAAATCGTAATTTTGTTATCCTGGCTTCTTTTTCTCTAAAATTTTAATATGTTGAAGCCAAAAGTTTCTTGAATATATAAAAAAATAATTGACACTTCCAAGTTTCCTGAATTTCCAGAAAAAAAATCAAAAATCAGGACAAAAACTGTATGGCAAAGATATCATTCAGTGACTATTGGATTCTAAAAATCGTAATTTTGTCATCCTGGGTTCTTTTTCTATTAAATTTTAGTATGTTGAAGCCAAAAGTTTCCTGAATATATAAAAAAATAACTGACGCTTCCAAGTTTCTTGAATTTCCAGATAGAAATCAGGTCAAAAACTGTATGGCAGAAATATCATTCAGTGAGTCTATCGGAATGTAAACATTGTAGCTTTGTTATCCTTCGTTCTTTTTCTATAAAATTTCAGTATGTTGAAGCGAAAAGTTACCTGCACATTTAAAAAAATCATTGACACTTCCAAGTTTCCTGAATAGCTAGAAAAAAAATTAAAAAGCAGGAAAAAAAAACTGTATGACAAAAATATCATTCACTGGGGATTATAAAAATTGTAACTTTGTTATCCTGGGTTCTTTTTCTATAAAATTTTAATATGTTGAAGCCAAAAGTTTCCTGAATATACAAAAAAATTATTGACACTTCCAAATTTCCTGAATTTTCAGAAAAAAAATCAAAAATCAGGATAAAAACTGTATGACAAAGATATCATTCAGTGACTCTATCGGATTGTAAAAATTGTAACTTTGTTATCCTGGATTCTTTTCCTATAAAATTTTAATATGTTAAAGCAGAAAGTTTCCCGAATATATAAAAAAATAACTGACACTCCCAAGTTTCCTGAATTTCCAGGACAAATATCAATGATCAGGCCAAAAACTGTATAGCAAAAATATCACTCAGTGTGTCTTTCAGATTTTAAAAATCGTAACTTTGTTATCCTGGGTAGTTTTTCTCTAAATTAAAGTATGTTGAAGTCAGAAGTTCCTTGAATATACAAAAAAATCATTGAAACTTCCAAGTTTCCTGAATTTCCAGAAAAAAAATCAAAAATTAGGCCAAAAACTGTATATCAAAAATATCACTCAGTGTGTCTTTCAGATTTTAAAAATGGTAACTTTGTTATCCTGGGTTCTTTTTCTATAAAATTTTAGTATGTTGAAGCCAGAAGTTCCCTGAATATATAAAAGAATTATTGATACTTCCAAGTTTCCTGAATTTCCAGAAAAAAATTCAAGAATCAGGCCAAAAACTGTATAACAAAAATATCACTCAGTGTGTCTTTTAGATTTTAAAAATCGTAACTTTGTTATCTTAGGTTTTTTTTCTATAAAATTTCAGTACTTTGAAGCCAAAAGTTTCCCTGAATATACAAAAAAATCATTGACACTCCCAAGTTTCCTGAATTTCCAGAAAAAAAATCAAAAATCAGGACAAAACTGTATGGCAGAAATATCTTTCAGTGAGTCTATCAGATTGTAAAAATTGTAACTTTGTTATCCTGGATTCTTTTCCTATAAAATTTTAATATGTTAAAGCAGAAAGTTTCCCGAATATATAAAAAAATAACTGACACTCCCAAGTTTCCTGAATTTCCAGGACAAATATCAAAAATCAGGCCAAAAACTGTATAGCAAAAATATCACTCAGTGTGTCTTTC